TATATATATATATATATATATATATATATATATATATATATATATATATATAAACCGAAGGAGAAAATCTTTATTTGTAAAAGTGTGATAAATATGAGATACTGATAAAATAATCAAAGAAAAAACATATTTTCAAGTTGAAATATTTAAAAATGTAGCTAAATTTAATTTAAATTATTCATACCATTTATAACATTTACAATCTATTTCCTATATTACATATTTCCTATTGTTACTTGATATAAATAATTATATTTTAAAATAATAATTTATTTCTTTTCTTTTTCTGTATTTTTATTTTCAAAGTCTTCTTTTTCAAATGGCTACAATACTTTTTTCCTTTATTCTCTTCATTTCAATACTTCCTTTCATTCTGTCTGTCATATATCTTGCATTTAATCAAAAAGTAACCTAAATATCTGTACCTAGCCCACATTTGAGATTAACACTCGATAGCCATTCGTATCATTTCATCTTGGACGCTTGATATGGTCTCGAGAACAGAGGCTGTTAAATATTTTTACAAACCATTATAGATGCATTATTTTCAACGCAAACAACAAATTAAACAAATTAAACGTTACAAAATTGACCATATTTCCACGAAGCTTACGTTTGCTCAATTTTCATTAGCCCATTAGGAATACTCATCGATAATTCCGCCAATCAACGTAACACGAGTCGAGCTCTGTGCGGGATATTTAACCCGATCGAAGCCCGCGTACCCGTCCAGATTAAAGCATCGAATTGCTTCGAAAGCCTGTTAATCAACATACGCCGGAGTACTTTAATTAGAAATACACTCGCGGGTATTGTTCCATTTATGGAAACGGCCCCCTGTCTGAAGTCATTTTCCGAACATACATGTCAAGAGTGTAATCAATTCTCTTCGCCCGGTCGTGTTCGATCACTCCGATAACTATATGAAAATCGGTTAACGAGACGAATAATCGTGTTTTGGATATGCCATTATTCTCTACAAAAATTGATTTTTATAGAGATATGTATACACATAGATCGGTGTAAAAAATAATCAGAGTCAAAGTTCAATGTGTAAAAAATTTTCTTTCCGTCCCATATTCCCATTTAGGAATTGAATCATTGTGACGCGATGTTTGGAAAAATTGAAGTTGGTGATTTTTAATATCTCTTGATGGTGGTATTGTCTTCGATGCTTGTGTTGGGAATAGGTAGATATGCCTTTTAACTCTGAATATCGTGTTTTTCGTATTCTTTTTTTTTTTTAGAATCTGCGTGTTTTTTTTATTATTTGATTTTTATATAGTAGATAACTATGGTAATAAAAATTTATGCAATATTAGTTAATAATGATTAATTATTAAAAAGCGGTTCGAAGTTAAAAGAAGTATTTAAATTACAAGTATAATAATTCATAATAAATATTTATTGATATGAATTAGTTAGTGAAAATTGCGATAAAATATATCAGATTTTAAAAAATGATTAAAAAACTTGTTTAAATAATGGCTAGAATAAATTAATTATCGAAAAAAGAAGTTGGAAGTTAGAATGATTAATTATCGTAGATTAAACATCGAGGAATGACTAATTATTGCGATAAAATATCAAATTTAAAAATAATTAAAATTTGTTCAAATAATGGGCAAAAAGAATCACCGTAATCCAATTTCGCAAACAAATTATATCAAACCACGAATCTCTAATTAACACGATATCCCTTCGAAAAGAATCGACCTAAACAATCCGAAAAGCAAATGACAATAAATCTTTTATCTTTCAATAACTAAACCGATGGGATAACTTCGATTCCCTCTTTCGTAAAATCTTTCCATTCTATCAATTTATCCGGCAACAAATCAGGCATGTGTCTATTTCTCAGTCTCGAAGCGAAATGAGTTTCGTTCCGTGAGATGATTCAATCTCCTATCAATCGTTGAATATCCTTTTGCCATCGATAAAGGATCGATGCGGTGAGACTTTTCAATTCCAATCGTTCCAACGAGTATTTAGCAAAGGAATGCATTAAGCGAGGACGCGTGTTCTTCCGCTTCCGCCATTATTTGTATTCGAGCCGGCGAAAATGTATTCGAATGGACGTGAAAGCGAGATCTAATATTTTTGTCACGATTCTATAATTCAAAAGGAAAAGCTGAAACATTACATCTTTTAAAATTTTGGAAACTAATGATGTTCCATAGAATCCAAAAACTTGAAAAAGAAGTCAGAAGTTAGAATTTTTTACTAGAATAGGAAATTTATTCGTGTAAAGTCTCCATAAGTAATTGTGATTACTTATTGATACTTTGTACCATTAATTTTAAGAAGTAATAAAAAAAAATTTAGAAAATTCGATACAACTATAATTGGAAAATGTGTAGTAGCAGAATCGAGTAAGTAAATGGATATATAATGGCATGTATAAGTAAAATTTATTCGATGATATGCAGAAAATGCATTTCAGCAAGGAGCACGCAAATGGATAATGAGATTGTGAAAGGTGTGGGCCTCGTTAAATTAATGGTTGCCTCAGTTGAATCGAGATTGTTTATAATGTGATAACGTGATTATGCGGAGAATATAATTTTGTACGAGAGAGAGAGAGAAAGAGAGAGAGCGATCATCGCGTGGAAACAAAGAGGATCTACTTTTGAAATTGCTTCGTATTAATATTAATTAATCAATGGGTTGTTCTGAAGAGTTTGAATCATGCAACGTGATTATTTATAGACAATACGATTTTGAATAAATTAGACCACTGGCAGACTGGTCTCGTAAAAGTGTGAAAAAAGTGAAAAGCGAGAATCACGATTTGGCATCGCGCCAATCAATCGAAGAAACGCTGCGCGTGTCAATATCTAAATTTGCTCTATATTCTGGACATACAGGAATTTTAATGGCAATATTCCAAGCGAAGACTAATGATCCCTCGGAACTAGTATTTAGCTCCAACTATGCACGTTTAATGGAGCTCGAGCTCTAACTATACGATTTCCCTTTATAATGTCGAAAATGACTAATATTCGTTCCAATATTCCAATTAATTTAATTAACACATCGAACGTGTATTTGAATCTATATTTTACAAATAATTTAAGATCACAAACTACAACATAGATTATAAGAAATCATACTTAAAATCCGCGTAGAATTCAACAGAAATATATTAAATTTCTAATCGATAAACTCAAATTATTCCTATTTTTACTCTTATTTTCATCATATCTATCGACGATAACAAACGAATTATCATCAAATTATCACGAAAGGAATTCGAGTTATTTCGTTCCAATATTAATCAAATCGACAGAAGAACAATCGTTGCGAATATCACGCGATAATTCGAAAGTACATACGCACAAACAATCGTTCTCAAATCGTGCCCACTTTCTCTTTCTTTCCAGGGACCAGGACATGCTCGGCAGGGTAGGCAGGTGATGCGGCGGAACAACGGTTGGCTGGCCGTACTGGCCGTTTCATTGGCCCTGTCAATTCTGCGGAACAGTTTGGCGGGCGAGCGTCATCCGCTCGATTATGGTAACGCCGAGCTGCCAGTTAACCGCAGCAACACCGCATATAAACCATCCTCGCGAAGCCAAAACCCCCCCGAATCCTCGCCCCAAATTCCACGATCGAATCAACAGAAAGGCGTCGTCCCCTCGTCCGAGGAAGCGGCGAAACCAATCCCCTATCCAACCTCCGACAGAAGCCTCGTCCAGAAGACGAATCGTCCCATCGATGAGGATCCCGTCGTCTACGATCCATCGTTCCCCAAATACGAGAATCCACGGGAATCGAAACTCGTTCAAGGATCTCGGCCAGCAATCGAGACGAGGCTTCGAGAATCGACCGGCCTCCGCCCCCATATTTCGCAACAGCCGAGTTTATCCTCCTGGATACCTCGTGCCGCGATAAACGGCAGATCCGGGGGGATCAACCCCGCGAAACTCGGTTACGAACCGACGAGGGGTCGTAAAACAACGACGCAGCCGCCACCCGTGACGACTCGAGGGGGGGCGGTTTTGGACGAGGGAGCATCGTATTACGGTCACGTCGTCTCGGCTCCGAGCGATGACGAGTCGTTGACGATTTCTGGAGCACCGAGCATCCATCTCGTGAAAGGATCCACCTCGAGGGACCCTCCAGATCTCGAGATAGAGAGATCCGACGAGGTGAACGGGGTGGAAACCGTAAGCGGGCAAGTAAGGGATATCGGCTCTTCGAATCTGAGGCTCCACGATGGTAAGATCGTGAGGAAACGATACTTAACGGGGTACTCGCTGCTTTCTATCTCGGTGAGTCGACGAGCGAGCAAGAATTCGAGGAATAAATTAACACTCGACTCGACAAGAAGGAGATTGAAAAATAGGCGACGAGGCGCAAGGTCGATCCACCACGATTGGGGGGATGATAGGGCGAGAGGTCGATTAAAAATTTGGGGAGGAGAGTAGATGGAGAGTCGAGGATAAATCTGGATACGTGGTATTTCTCGAGACACGCGGATCGAGATTCGCGAAACGACGGATTCGATAAGGGATATCGTCGTTCCTCGAGGATGGAAGATCTCAAGCGCGGGATCTCTGGTGGATCGATGGAGGCTGTGAGTGGATACGAGAGCACGCGCCAGTTAAATGGAACCTCGAAACGGATATTGGGCATGGATAACGATCGGGAAGGTGCTAGTTCCATCGATGCGCGAAGGAAGAGGAATATTGTATCGGTTGATGATGGCGTCGGTTTCGAGTCATCGAGTGGGGAGGAAAATTCATGGAACGTTACTCTTTATGGGGCGAGCAACGGCGTGGATAATATGGAGCAAGAATTGAAGTTCGATTTTTCTCGAGACAATGTTACGGACGATTTGTTGGACGATCGAATGTTTTCGCCGAGTGTAACAAATGTTGATTCGAAGCCAGATAACGAATCCTATTTCGTGAGACGAAGCATCGGTGAAAATTCGAACGTGGATGGATCGAAAGAATCGAGCTTAAATTCTTCGAGATTGGATGGTTCCACGAGTGTTAAAAATATCGGTGCGAAGTCTGTTGATGGGTTGGAGGACTCGAGTGCGTGGAATTCTTCGAAATCGGGCAACGAATCTTATTCCACGAGTCGAAATATTGGTACAAATTTTAAAGTTAATGGATTAAACGACTGTAAGAGTGTAAGAAACGTTTCAAAATTGGACGATGGATGGTCCGTTGTTGGTGAAAATTCTGTCGATGGATCGATAACGAACGAAAATTATTCCGTTTTAATGTCGAACGATTCGACGAGCCGCGATGCGAGTACGAATCTAACAAAGGAAACGAAATTAGAAAAATCAAGCGTGCCGGATGGAAATCGTTCGACGATAAATGAATCCGACTCGATAAGATACGACGCAAGTTTAAACGGGGCGAAATTACAGAAAGAATCGAATATACAAGGTGGAAACGTGGATACGAGTGGTACGAACAACGAATTTCGTTCGATCAGCCACGATGATACAATTACAGATTCAATTAACGGGACAAAATTACGAGATTTAAATACATCGAATGGGAATTATTCCCAGTTAATGGAAAATAAATTTCGATGGGAATCGAGACAAAACATAATTACAGATTTAATTAACGATACTCCAAATAAAAGTTATTTACACATTAACGATAAATCGCATCGTTTCATCGTTCAAGATACAAACGGAATATCCAACTCGTCGAACGAGAAACAATTCACCGCGTTAAATTTTCCCGATACGATCGATCGTTCGTTAGACTCGAACGATGAAACGTCTGACAAAACGACTCGGGAAAACGATACGAAATTTAATTCGTCGGCGATAATCAATTCGAAAGGAGGCAAGCAATTGGCTTGTAACGCTTCCGAAACAATTGATTCAGATTCGAAGCTTGCAAACTCAAATAACGAGTCGATGGGCCGCAACGAGAGCGAGGATCGAATGGATGGGACGGAGTTAGAGACTTGGTGGGCGGAGGTTGACAGGAGTGGTGAAGCCTCCATTAAACCTGTGTCGCAAGAAACGTCTATGCTAAGTAGCGCGACAAAGGAGTCTAAGAACGCGTTCGAGAATTCCGTCGGTGGCTCGGTTGCGGCGCCGCGGAATGCCACGTATCTAAAACACGATACGAACAGTCTGGCCGAAGGCGGCTTCGTCTTCGAGAGCACTGGCCTCTTCGAATTCGAGGGGAAGAATGCCGGCGATCCGTTCGAAAGCTCGCCGACGGGGAGAAAATTGGTGGAAAATTCTTCTAAATCTTCTAATTCTAACGCACTGCCTGAACGAGCGTCTATTAACCACGAGATGGGATCGAAGCAATCTGGCGAACCGTCAAATATCCGCGGCGCAGTCGTTTCTCGAAGAAATGAAGACGCGAGAAAGAAAATTAAGGGTGGGGAGAGAGAAAGTCGCGAATCTTCGAGTTCGAATGGGTACAACGAGGCGAAAGATTTCCAAGGATCGCTTAATGAGTTTCTAATTGTTTCTGGGGGCAAAAAGTCGGAGGAGGGGTTGGGATTAATCGAGGAAAATTTGCAAAGAATTATGGAACCGATCGCGTTTGTCTCCCCCTCGAAGAACGAAGGTGAGCAGGTGATCACGATTAATTCGTTGGACGATGGGATCACCGATAATATGGACGATATCGACGATCGTCCGATTTCGAAAGGGCGAAAGTCCAGATCGTGGAAAGTTGGAGCGAACACGAACTCGAAATATAATCCAACGGCTCAAGATCGGGCGAATGATCAAACTTCCGCGTCAACGTGGAACAAAGACGGGATCGTTCCAAACAACGTCCCAACTCCGAGTATCGATTCCTCCGTCAATGGCCCGATATCAGAGCCGAATAACGGGATTCGCGAAACTCTAGAACTCCCAGAATTCATCTCCAATTCCTCGTTTCGATCCACGATATCATTTTCGTCGGCGACGAAAGACGATCATCTTACCTCGTTAAGCGACGTTACTCTGTCGCCGATCGAGATCGAGCAATTGCCAACCCCGACGTTGATCAACGAGGAGGAGAAGGGGGAGGGGGAGGATCGATCGTACGTTACCCCGTTCGAGGCAAATTATCAAGATTTCCGCGCGACCGTGGACTCGATCTCTCGAAACGCTGATAACTCGTCTCAAACCGAGACCGAGCCTCAATGGCCGGTTAAACACAGCGCTGTTGTGGAAGGGGATTTAGTGTTGGGCGGTTTGATGATGGTGCACGAGAGGGAGGACAACGTCACCTGCGGCCCCGTGATGCCGCAGGGCGGTGTCCAAGCCCTCGAGGCGATGCTCTACACTTTGGACAAGTTGAACGATCGTGGAATCGTGCCCGGTGTCAAGATAGGCGCCCATATCCTCGACGATTGCGACAAGGACACGTACGGTCTGGAAATGGCCGTGGATTTCATCAAAGGTAAGTTCATTTATCTAGACTCGGGCCCGGTAGACGACAGCTCGATGGTGATTAATGCCCGATTATACTCGCAATTACCCACTGATACCGTAATTGCTCGTTAGGGGATCGAGGATGTGTTAATTCGAGCCAATCGCCGTTAATCCAAAGGTGGAATTAATTGATAATTCTAGGTTGCACAGTGATTCGAAAGATATTTTTCTAAATGTGAATTATTGAATATTGGATGTTTCAGTTTTTCTTCTTCTTCTTTTTCTTGATAAACGGGAAGCGAGGAGAATTTCATGATATTGTTTTCTCAAGTTTTGAAATTTTAGAGAGAATTTTAGAACGAGGTCTAATTATTCGTTCGGTTTTATTAAACGAAAGATTTAACTCTTTTCTTTTTCTTCCTTTCTTTCTTCCTTATTTCTTTTAATTATGTCAATCCTCAAAAGAATTATCTTAAAGTTGTTGAGCAAAAAATTCTCCCGTTCGGCTTACGGGACTTTCTTAAAAAAATCTTGTTGAAAACGTAGCTTATTCTCGTAATGAAGGAAACGCGAGACGGTTGCGTGTTATATTTATTCTCGCGATCGATAGAAGAAAACAATGTTATTATCAAAATATCGGTCGACCATTGCATCGCTCAGAGAAATGATTCCCGACAAAAGACGAAAATCCATGCGACCCCGAACAATTTTATCCCTATGTTAACAAATACGAGAGAATGTGTCTACAAATTGCTTCTCGAGAAACTTTTTCCCTATCTTTAACAATAGCGGAGAGATAACGTTGAATGAGAAAGAAACTTGGAATGGATTCGTCGTTCGTGGCACGGCAAGGTTTGCACAACGTGGCAAAAAGGAAAAAAGAAAATAAAAAAACTTGCACGCTTCCTTTCGAATTTCGAAAACTTTTCTATAGAAAGGTGGCTATAAAAAAAAAATAATAAAAAAAAAGAAACTCTAGAAACGATAATCGAGAGAAATCGTGGCTTAACTCGAATCTCTTACTCGATACTGGCCTGACGACGCGTTGTAGTTTCCACGTGTCCAAAGATGAGAAAAACAACAATTGTAAATCCGCGAATGTAGGTTACATCCAACGAGGATGCATCGAGATTATGCAACTGAGACCTCTTTGAAACTGGCCTCGAATTCATTGTCTTGAAAATAATAATTAACAACGACTGTCAAAGGGAGGGATGAAAATTGAAACAAATATAAAGTTGGTTAAATATTAATCAACTCTCGACATTGAAACGAGATCGTAATTACGCGTTCTTATTTTGAAGTAACAGGTAAAACTCGGTTTTAATTTATACACGGTGAAAATATTGTTTCTCATCCGTGAAAGGGGTTCGCAATGAAAAAAAAAAGAAAAACAAAAAGATATATCGGATTCTTCCGTAGCAGCAGGATTGTTCTCGATACTTTTCATCGAGTGACACCGTGAATACAAGAATTTACGATAGAATTCAATTAACTTTTCATATTCTGTGACACATGGATTCTCATAAATTTTTATGTTAAAATTACATTGGAAATCAATAAATTGTAAAATATTTAGGAAGGGCTGGATATTTTTTAATATTTGAATATTAGGATGAAAAAAACAGATATCATTTTATATACTTTTCGATACAAAAGGAATTCACAAATATTACATTAAAAATATATTTAAAGCTATTAATATAAATTTCGATCCACTCGTATTATTTCTCTAAATCTCAGTCCATTTGAGAAAACGAGTAATTCGCTCTAATGAAAATAAAAATTTCTCGCGTTAAATTGAAAATAACAACTCTCGTTGCGCGTTTACCTCACTTTCGTACACGTTACGTGACAACAACATTTGTTACCACTTTATAAAAACTTTGTGACAGCTCGCAAAACTAAGGTATCCTTTATATGGATACTTTATATTCTCTTGTAGAAGGAGAAATATACGTATATCGAGAATACCTCTAAAATTCTTCTTTCCAACTTTCTTCCCTTCCTTGTTTTTCATGTTATCGTATTATTCTCGAGGAAACGTCATATTTACTAAATAAACTGAGCCCAGAAAAAATCAACGCGCTTTGTTAATGATCAAACTATTTCGAAATATATATATTTTTGCTATTATTATTTTCTTCGAGGAAAGTAACGAATTTAGCAGTTCAAAGGATTTCGAAATTACGTTGGAAATTCGAGAGCACAAGATCTATTTCTCTCACGTTGCTTTTCCCGTTTTTTCTTCCCGTTACCTTTTTTCCATGATAAATATACAAGGTGTCCAATTATAAAAATTTGAAGTTTTCGAACGAATCGAGTTTTTTTTTCAAACACGAGTGGAATTAAAAACTAATCGAAACTATTAATGGATAAACATATTTAAAAATGAACAAAAGAATAATAAGTTTTAACGTTTAACGTCCTTAATTTTGGAAAAAAAAATGGAGATCCAACATCCTTAATTTCTAAAAATCAATGAAGAAAATTAATTTCGTATGTTTTCGCTTCAGAAACAACAAAGAAATTTAAAAAATGTATATATATTTCCTTCTGGCTTACTTTTCCATGAAATGAAATGCTCGATATTGGGGACACTGTGTATACCGAGACTCCATCTCACCGATTCTTTGATGGAAACCCTCGACCCAGATATTTCGCCAATGCCAAGGTCTTAATTTGCCGTTTTCCAAGCAACGATCGATGGCGATGTTTGATAGATTCCGCGCCCTTTTCACCCGACACGTGAATGCAAACCGCGACGTGGTGATGCGCCAAATGTAAAATTGCGCGGTGAAAACTGTGCATGCACCTATCCGCGTACCGATGAAAGGAATGGAAGGGTATCGAGCGTGGAAATTTGAGGAGAAACGAGGCCTTTGTGAATAGTCGACTGGTTTCACATTTCTATACGAGTTGGTGAACGATAGCCTCTTTCCAAAGTTGGATTCTTTGTTCCTTGTATCCCTTGTGAAAGGGAAAGTAGGGGATGAGAGAAAATATAGAATAGTTCTTGATTGACTTTTGCTCCTGTATTTATTCTATGCATACATATTGCGAAATCTAGCGATCGTAGAAAGGAACGTAGTAGAATCGTTATTATTGAATTAACTATTCTTTTTAATATTCCATCCTGTGTGTGTATTCGTGAAATATAGTGATGAGAGAAGTATACTTAATTTCCCGTATCTATAAATGTAATTATGTATTATTGAGTTGATTTTCTTGCAACCTCTCAAACGAAATTCCGTTAAGAACATTGTAGTAATATTTGCTAGAACGCGTTTTAGAAGAAACTTCTAACTTCGCTTTTCATTTCATATTCGTTCCGTTTCAGAACGTGTCAAAACTGTACCGAGGAGATTAATTATTCGAAAGTTTTTCTTACAATTAAGTAGACTGTAGAAGAATTTCTACTTCTGGAACTGGAAAGTTTCCATTAAAGAAATTGAAAACTTGATCGATCTAGCGAGAAATTTGTGAAAGGAAACATCAGTTTCTACAAGTCAATTTTCTAAATGAAATCATTCATTTTAATTCGAAATATTACTTTGCTCGATACCTTTGCACGATTGTACACAAGTCGGGCTGCGAATAATTGAAATCGTTCTGAAATATTTATTCACGGTTCACGGTTAAATCTCAAAAAAAAAAAAAGAAAAAGAAAAAGAAAAAGAAAGAAAAATATTGAATATTCCCCTCTCCCTCCCCCCTTGGCTAAAACAAGCAAGATTTTATTTTCTACAATTTCATGGGAGATTGAAACAAATCGTTTAAAGAGTTGTTAGCGCGTAACGTTTTTAATTAAAGCGTACAATAACTTCTTCGACTTTGAGCAAACATCTTTGAAAAGGGACGTGACTCTTTATTCCAAAGTCTTTCGTATTTCGAACAAGGAAAACAAGGAATTATTTCATGTTTTTTAACACAAAAGAACCTCTCTTTGATTTTGATTTCGAATGAAATAAATGAAACGATTGCGGAACGAATGAAAATCGTACGAAAATTTTTAACAATCGCTTCAAGGGGGATTGAAAAAGAAATCGTTTTCCTTTCAAATAATTTTCCTCGGGGAAACTTTTTGCATTTTTAAACCAACTAAAACCAACTTTGTCGCGCTTAAATTTTTCTCCCTTTTAATTTTGATTCAAAAATAACGTAATACAGGCGTACACGTGCATCGTGAGTTCTAATCTATGGAGAATTTGGATGATAAGCTCTTTGGAATTCAATTTCCCCGGGATGGATATCGTGAATGCGGGGAGCCATCGCGATGTCAGTTTACCACGAGACAGTTTGGATTGAAGATGGATAGATAGATGTTGGTACGGCGACGTCGCCACGAAATAAGTTAATTAGGATCCTCTCTGTTTCCTCCACGAACAATCGAGCAATTCTCTCGAACGATCGTTCAGACTCGGTGCTTATCCGCACGCTCGAGCAAGAAGAGATCACGAAGAAATAAGGGAATAGCGAATCCACCATTTCTTATCGATCGTTTGCGCGAAGGAAGGGGAAGGAAATCGTAGGGAAGAGACGAGGCGTGTCCTGTAATTTATATCGGGATTGATTTAAGAACGGTTCGCTCAGAAAAAGAATAAGTTTCGAAGAAGATGACGAAAAGATCAAAGAGAGGGTTTCAAAGGGTTTCGTAAGAGGGATGAACGCAGTGGTCAAGAATATTTTTCAACGATATTTCGTTCCTTTCCTCGAGGAAAGAGTTGATTTAAACTTTCTTCTGGGGAATAATAAAAATTCGAGCGAGGAAAAGGGCGAGCGACAGGAAGAGATTAAAAAAGATTAACGATACCAAGTTCCGTTCATCTTTTTGAAATCGTAATTAAGGAAATATTTACTAAAACCGAGATGAAATGCTGTAAACTGTGTATACTTTTTGGGAAAATATCGAAAAAGGAGAAATCAAAAAACAAAACAAAATACAGCAAAAATATTTATGATTTACTTCATTCTCTCTGTTAAATATCCCATGAATATAATTCGTGTGTTATATATTTCACGCAAATT